CTTTCAGTCTGCAGGTCGACGCTCTATCCACTGAGCCAAACTGGTCAGGGCTATAAGGGTGTTTTTTTAAGTTAAAAAGTGTTTGGGGTAATCAATACATAATTCTAGAAAATTTTAATATAGAAATTATGAAACAAAAAGTAAAATTTCTCATTTCGTCTACCTGTGTACCTGATACTACAAAAAAGTTTCAAATATTGAAATGTATAAAGTGGTAAGTGAAGCTTCCCTTCATTACAGCCTCCCAGTGCTGTGTAATAGTAGATAAGTCTTTTTTTTTTTTAATTTATAAAATTGAAAGTGAAATTTCTCTGTAACACTAGCTACTGGTAGTAACCACTACTAGTTTTAGTGTGCAATCTTCCAGGTTTTTCTTTTGCATATCAGTGGTGTGTGTGTGTATGTGAAGTTGCTGAACTGGAGTTGTGCTATAAATACAGTTGTCAGCTTGCTTTTTTCACTTACTAATGTATTTGAGTATCTTTCTATAGTGTAAGCATTTTCCAGTGTCACTAAAACACTTAGCCGAATGGTATTTTAAATGGCTACATAATGTTTTCACATTTAGATGTGCCCTGTTTTATGTAGTCCTTCTCAAAGGCTAGCAATTTAGATCGAAGTAAATATTTATTCACATGTCAGATTCTTTCCCTAAGCTAAGAACCAGACTGCCCCACTGAATCAAAGATAAACATTTTAAAGTTTCCTTTCCAAAGAGAGTTTATCATTTTACACTCTCATCAGTAGCTCACAGGAATATGTCGTGGCTGCAGTCACGACTGGGATCACTTAAAAAAAAAGTCTTTGTTGATGTCATAAGTGAAAAAGCTCTTGTTTAATTTGCGTTTCTTAGAATATTGAGAGGGTTCAGTGCTCCGCATGCTTAATGATCTTCCTCGATTTTTGCAACAGAGGTAATCCGCCCTCTATAAAAACAAAACGAACAAACAAACAATAAAAAACAACCCGGAATTCCCAGCTCAGATTTCTGGGCTCAGACTCCTTAGAACTCCTTGGGCGGACTCCTGGGCTCAGAGCTGGGGGCTCAGAGCTGGGTGTCTGCCCTGTGGGTCGGTCGGAAGCCTCACCTCTCTAGGACCGCCTGTTCGGGTTTCAGGCGGCCTCTGGCTCCCTCTAGTGGCCTCACCGGCAGCTGCAGCCTCACCTCCTTTCCTATCATCCCGGTGGGAAATCCTAGAATGAAGAAAAGTAATTAAATTTAACTTCCAAGGTTGCCATCGGGTTCTGTTAGTGAACTCTGAAATCACGGAGTTGTAAGCACTCGTCTTGTTCCCCTAGTTTAGCAGAGTCAGGAGATACTTGCGAAGGTTGTAGGACCTTCTAGAAGTGAGGGTAACTAACTTTGAGGGGAGCTAAAGTATTAACATTTGGTCTACATCTGAAGTGTATGAGCGCACATCTAGGACCTTCTAGAAGTGAGGGTAACTAACATTTGGTCTACATCTGAAGTGTATGAGCGCACATACAATTTTGCAATCATATACGTGTGTGAGTTTGTATATCCAGGTATATGCACACACGCTCACACACACTTTTATACCTCCCTCCCCTTTTAAAGAATTTTAAGTATGTCTCTGGGTCCTTAAATCTCTTTTTGAAAATAATCCTTTTTTATGGCTGCCTAATAGAATAGATGCTGTCGTTTATTTTATAGGAATTAGACGCCACTCATTTCTCATAGATGTTATAAATGATGCCAGAATGAAGAGCCTTTAAACAATTGAACTCTGATTATTGTCTTGCAGTAGAATTTTTGGGTCAAAATCATCTAACTTTCTAAATTATGTGAATATTTAATACCAAATTTTCTCTCAAAACCTTGCTCCAAGAAGGGGTCAGTGGGGGGCGGGAACATATGTGATACTTTCAACAATAAAGACTTAATTTAAAAACAAACAAACACCCTCTTGGCGGGGGAATGTCTGCCTGCCAGTGTCATTATTAATGCTGTTCTCGCTAACTGCTGCTGGTCTGACTCAGTGCGGGACATTATTTTAATTTGAATTTTTTCCCTTAGGCCGGAAGCTGAGAGGAAAAGCCTTTTATTTCGTCAACGGCAAAGTGTTTTGTGAGGAAGACTTCCTGGTGAGTTTGACCCCCAAGCCTCCCTCCCCACGGTCCTGACCAGAGTTGGGGGGGGCAGCACGCGGGAGACCAGGCCAGGAGAGGAGGGTGGCCGCTCTGCTCCCGAAAGGGGCCCGGACCCTCCTTCTGGAGATGTGTGGGGTGGCCCGTGTGCCCAAGGCAAACGACAAGCTTTGTGCTTTGAAGGGACTTGAGGGTCACTCGGCCTGTCCTCTTGTTGCTTCGCCCACTTCTGCCTACTCCATCCCTTATCCCAAAAACACCTCCGGACTGGGATGCAGGCCTTCCTCACGTCTCACTCTGCCTGCTCTCCACGGACCCAGCCTCCCCCACACATGACAGTCCCTCCGTGTGCAGCCCTGTCACCTCTGAGGCCAGCTGCTGACATCCCACCGCCCACAGGACAGTCCCAGGCTGCCCCCCAGCTCCTCCCACTCCACTTTCCAGAAGCAGAAACATCTCCTCGCCTTGGGTCCTCACCTCGGAGAACTGTGTCCTAGGTTCCTCCCGTCCCCTCCTCCTTCCCGCCGGTCCCAATGCAGCCACACACAGAGCCTCGTGCCACCAGGCCCTCCCTGGGCCTGCTTAGCTGGCAATGGCAGCGAGGCCCAGCCCGGATGGCCTGGTGCCCTCCTCCACACTATCTGCCCATGCACCCGGCCTTCGGGCGCACCCCCAGGGTGAAAGCATGTGCAGAAAAGCTGTCCGCGTCAGGAGCCTGCCCCTCCCAGCCTGTGACTCACTCATTCTGCACTTGCCATGCTCTGCCCGCCTGCCAGCCTCCCTTCCTGCCTTAGCTTGTGCCCTCTCCTCTGCTTGGAATGTCTTCACCCTTTCTTTGCCCGGGTAACTCCCGCAGCCTTCCTTGTCCCTCCTGCCCGACACGGGCTCGCCTCCTCCGTGCAGCCCCCCACCCTGGCAGACAGCACACAGCATCAAGTCCGTTTACAAGCCTCCCCCTCCGGACTGTGGAGACTGTAGGCCCTCAGGAGGGATGAGCGTGCTTCTCCACCTTCAGGCCCTGAGATCCGAGCTCAGTGCTGAGCATAGATCGCGGCCGGGAAAGGGAGCTGAACTGAGCCTGCGTTTCAGGGCTGAGGACTGTGAGACCCAGAGGGGCCGGGCCAGCTTCCTTGTGGGGATGGATTCCTGTGACTCATGTTTGCAGGGCACAGACACGCAAACCCAAGCTGGCTTAGGCCAAAAGGAAATTCATCGCAGCAAGGCCTCTGGGAGTCATTTTCTCTTTCTGGCCCTGCCTCTCGCTCTCTCTGTGTGAGTGTCAGACTCGGGTGGGCACTAAGCGATGGCCTGATGGGCGGGCCCCGCGTTTGTTCGGAGCCTGGGCAGGCAGTTCCTGGGGTCTCCATGGCTCTGGTTGGGTCTCATGGCCATCCTTGGGCAAAGTCATTGGTGCTGGCGAAATGCGAGGCTCTGATTGGCCGGGGCCGAGTCTGTGCCCCACCTTGGAACACAGTAGGGGGTCAGTCCCGCAGGAATGGTGGGGTCCCGAGTGAAAATGCAGAGCTGTTGTTACCCCTAGAACGGGAGAAGGTGCCAGACAGCAGAAACCACAAATGGTGGGGAGTTGCAGAAAGTTTCCCTTTTTCTTCCCCGCCTTCCTTTCCATTACATTTCCCCCATTAAGTAATATTTGCAATATCGAAACTCTACTATCTCCCAGGGTGTAGTATCTCGTATGTTTTCTGAAGAGAGTTCCTCGTTTCTTTTAAGACTCCTGCCGTGTGTGCGTGTGTGTGTGTGTGTGTGTGTGTGTGTGTGTGTGTGTAAGGTAGATAGTACTTACCGGGTTTCTTTGACGCTAACTGTAAAAGGCATTGGCCTTTTAACCAGAAACTGACTTGGATTTGAATCCTGTTCTTACCCCTTAGAGGCTGTGTGACCTCGAGAAGGTCACATAACCTCTCTGAGCTTCCCTTTTGAGAAACGGTTAACATGTATGCTGCAGAATTGTTTTAGGATTCATTGGAGTGGTGGTCTCAAACTTGACCATGCAAGGGTCCTGAAAACACACATTCCGGGCCCCACCCCCTGAGTTTCCAGTTGGGCTGTATATCCTAATCATTTGCATTTTTTAGAGTTTGTAGGTGATGCCTGGGAACTCCTCTTAGAACGGCCTGATTGGATCCAGGCCTCTCTGCCATGCCATGGGTACCCAGGTGTACTTCCTAGGGCAAGTGGTATTAGTATGTGTCATGGCTTTTGTGGCAGAAACGATTCCATGAGTCATCACACAGCTGTGTTGTCCTCGGGGAAATGACAGATTCCTGAACAGAGTGGCACATCTTTCTGAGAACGGCATCGTTATCCTCGTGGCTGGCAGGGGAGAGACTGGATCCCTCGGCCCTGCCTGGGTTCACTCTCTCTCCTCTTTCCTCTGCAGTACTCTGGCTTCCAGCAGTCAGCTGACCGGTGTTTTCTGTGTGGCCATCTGATCATGGACATGGTGAGTAGGGTCAGCCAAACAAGATAAGAGCACGGTGAGAGGGGGAGGCCTGCAGAGAACAGAGGAATTAACCACGGAGAACCGTGTTTCCTAGCTCGACTTGTGGTTGCAGTTTTTATTAACATCTGGTTGTATGGAAAGCAGATCCTATGCAATACACCTTGTTTGGTGTAGCAGAACCCACAATGTTGGCTTGCATTGGTATTCGAATCCTCAGCCCTCCAGTGTTGTGTTTCCGATGATCCTCTCTGCCCTGGGCTGTCCGCACGCTGGCCTCCCTCTGATTTCCTGTGATCCCTGCAGCATCCTAGCTGAGACGCCGCCACTGAGCCAAACTGGTCAGGGCGTGGTTGCAGTTTTTATTAACATCTGGTTTTATGGAAAGCAGATCCTATGCAATACACCCTGTTCGATGTAGCAGAAGCCACGATGATGGCTTGCATTGGTATTCCCATCCTCAGCCCTCCAGTCCACACAGTGTTGTGTTTCCGATGATCCTCTCTGCCCTGGGCTGTCCGCACGCTGGCCTCCCTCTGATTTCCTGTGATCCCTGCAGCATCCTAGCTGAGACGCCCAATGGAACCTGTTTTTACTACGGAATTCTCAGCTGCCTTGGAGCCAGGCGCAGAAAGTCAGATAAACACTGTGTTTTTCCCCTTTGCTCTGCCTGGCTCAGTCTGTTCCTAAAACTTAATTTAAAAAAATATTTTTTTGTTGTGAATCTTCACCTGAGGAGATTTTTTCCATTGCTTTTCAGAGAGAGTGGGAGGGAAGAAAGGAGAGAGGGAGAAGAAGAGAGAGAGGGAGAGGAAGGTAGAGAGGAGAGAGAGAGAGAAACATAAACATTGATGTGAGAAAGGCACATCAACTGGTTGCCTCCTGCACCTGCCCCAACCGGGGACAGAGCGAACTTGAGACCCAGGTACATGCCCTCGACCAGGAACAGAACTGGAGACCTTTCGGTGTGCAGGCCAACACTCTAACCACTGAGAACACCAGCCAGGGCCTAAGATGAATTTTTGAACCAGGGGAACAAGGAGCAAATTTTATTCATTCTGTTCCTTGCTGAGCCACTGGCTCTCCGAGCGCGTCCTGGGCCGCAGTATCTTTATCTCTTCAGTGGAAATAGTTCCCCTCCCTGGCCTCCTTAGAGCAGGGGTGGGGAGCCTTTTTCCTGCCAAGGGCCATTTGGATATCTATAACATCATTCATGGGCCATACAAGATTACCAACTTAAAAATCAGCCTGCTGTATTTGGTCGAACATTTAATTAGCTCACCCCTGATGCCTTGGCAGGGCCAGACCCAATGATTTCCAAGGCCTTACACGGCCCCCAGGTGGGCGTTCCCCAGCCCTGCCTTATAGGGTAAGGCTGTGGGCCTAAGGAATACGGAGTTCTTATTCTGTCTCAGGGATCAGGTGCTCACCGATGCAGAGTGGCCCTGGAGGTTTTATTTAATATACTAGAGAAAACGACATAGAACTTCATTTTAGTTGTAAGGAGTTAAATCCCCTTTTACTGATCCATTCATTCCTTTCAGGAGAAGGGAATTGCTAAGTGTTGCCTTTAAAAAAAACAAACAACCATTTTTAAAAAATATATATATTTTATTGATTTTTTTTACAGAGAGGAAGGGAGAGGGATAGAGAGTTAGACACATTGATGAGAGAGAAACATCGATCAGCTGCCTCCTGCATCCCCCTTACTGGGGATGTGGCCGCAACCAAGGTACATGCCCTTGGCCGGAATTGAACCTGGGACCCTTCAGTCCGCAGGCCGACACTCTATCCACTGAGCCAAACTGGTTAGGGCCAAACAACCATTTTTACTGAGAAGCAACTCTTAGAGTAAAGGACACACACACCCCAAGTGTGCATGCAGCTGAGTGAATTTTTACACTTGCAGATGCCCACGTCAGCACCTCCCAGATCAGGATGTAGATCACATTCCGCAGTCCGCACCCCAGAAGGTTCCTCCCTGGCCCCCTCCCCGTCGAGATCCCCCTCCCACAGCGGTCCCCACTATCCTGACATCTCTCGCCTCGGATTGTTTCGCTGGTCCTGGAGCGTCGTGTAAATGGAATCATACAGTGTAGACTCCTTGGGGACTGCCGTTTCTCACTTGGGAAAATGTTTTTGAGATTCATTCATTTGTGGTTACCTGTGTTGGTAGCGTATTTATTTTTCTTGCTAAGTAGAAGTCCATCGTAGGGATAGAGCAGTTTGCTGATCCGTCCTCCTGCTGGTGGGGTTTGGGTGGTTCCCACTTGGGGGCTTCTTAGGAATAGAGCTGTGAACACTTTTAGGCATGTCTCTGATGGACATAAATACTCATTCCTGCTGGTCCAGGGATTGCACTTGGAGAACCACCGACTTAAGAGGAACAATGCTTTATCTCACTGAACAAGAGTGTGGAGATGGGCAGTTCCACGGTGGGTGAAACTGGTTACGTGCTGATGTCACCAAGGACATTCTTTCCAGCTCTTCTCCCCTCCCCTCGCGTCTCAGCGCTGTCCGGGCTTCAGGGTGGCCTCTTACAGTTCTAGGTGTCACAGCCGGGTCAGTGACACTGAGAGGAAGGAGGTTTGTGGGGCTTTCTCTTCTCTGTGTTTAAAAACAACAACAACAAAAACCAACAAAAAACAACAACAACAAAGAGGCTTTGCTTGCACTTGGATTTGAGATAATCGGCTGAGTCACGGCTTATCATGCCGCAGGGTCAAAGCCGCTGAGAAGGAGTTGGAGGTTTTCTCCGAGCTCTGCATTTTCACGGGGAATTTCCTTTAACCTTTCCACGTACTCGCTGTTCCCCAGATCCGGGATGGATCCTTTTGTGGTCCTACTATGCGTCATTTCCTACAAAGAACCATAAGGCTTTCTGACAGGGAGCCATTGAAATTCCCTCCTGGAGTTTTTATGAACTCAGGAGGAAGGTCCTGTTTGGCCTCCTCCTGTTTATACATGTGACTGCATTAGCTTTCCTGCCCGGTTGCCTCTTGACCGTGGTCCATGTGAAACTTGGTGTGTGTGCCTCGTGTGGCGTGATTGTTCACATGGTCCCTCTGCCTGATGTTCTCCCTTCCTCCCCATCGTCCCGCTGAGTCCCGCCTGGTCCTTTGTGTCCCCAGATCCTGCAGGCCCTGGGGAAGTCCTACCACCCCGGCTGTTTCCGCTGTGTCATCTGTAACGAGTGCTTGGATGGGGTGCCCTTCACCGTGGACTCAGAGAACAAGATCTACTGTGTCCGCGATTACCACAAGTAAGGAGGGCCGGGAGCCGCACGTGTGAGCCACGCGGTGGGCACACAGCAGTGATAGCAGACACCTGCTGAGGCTTGTCTACAGGCAGCTTGTCCATTAGCCCACAGCCCGGCAAAGGCCTCATGATTTGAGGGGTGGAGCAGGGGCCTCGGAGCTCAGCGATGTCTGTGCAGACAGAAACTGATTAAAGAATTATGTTTACTGGAAAACAAAACACCAAAAACCCCAGATCACATCCTCCAGCCCCTGTGGCTCCAGCTTTGCTAACTTAGAAGGCGCCAGTTCAGCTGGCTCCACCCTCAGTGTGCCTGGGCCTGTACCAGGCTCCTCAAGGGGAGAAAGCAGACAGTCAGTCTCTGTTCCGAGTAGAGCGAGGGGCCAGATGTGCTCGTTAGCGCTGGGGTTGGATCCCGAAGAAGCATGAGGAAGCGAGTCCCAGTGAGCGAGCCAAGCCCTCAGTCCAGGGCCGGAGGGGGCAGGGCCGGGCCGGGAGGAGGGCTCCCAGGAACCCTGGGCCTTGCCCTCCAGAAGCACAACCTGCATCTCACGGCTTCTCTGCTCTCCCCACAGGGTGTTGGCCCCCAAGTGTGCAGCCTGCGGGCTCCCCATCCTTCCACCTGAGGTGAGATGCCCCTCAGACCTGGGTCGCCCACGACAGGAATTCCTCCTGGGGTCATTTCCAGGCTCTGTCCCTCGTGTCCTCCCCAAGGAGCCCCTTTCTCTTTCGCCAGCTTCCCCAGCCCAATGCCCTGTTTGTTCCCCCAGTCAGGGCAGACTCACCAACGACGTAATGACGTAATGCTAACTCCTAGCATAGAAGGTGAGCAGGTGGCTTTTTCAGTGTCAACGACATCTCAGAGGGTGGGACTCCTGTCCCTCCATTTCCCATAAGTCATTGTGCTCTGTCCCCCCTTGTTAGTATTTTCTCCTAAGGCCGCCTGCTTGTTACTCAGAATCCCCCCCAACACCCCCACTGCATGTGGAACCCAGTGGGCCCCCCAACTTCTCATATTCGCTTTTTCTCGATCCAGGGCTCAGATGAGACCATCCGTGTCGTGTCCATGGACAGAGATTATCACGTGGAGTGTTACCACTGCGAGGTAGGCCTCTCCCTGCCCAAGCCCCCAAACCCGCTTAGCAGTTCAAGACGAGACCGGCCCAGTTGACTGTGGCAGGAGGTGGTTATGTTCGGGCCTGGGACTGCCGTCAGAGCTGTTGGAGGAGATGGGATGGAGCCTGTTCTGGGGGTGGAAGGGGGAGGAGAGGTCGGAGAGGATGTAGATGTTTGGGCATGAAGGTCTTCACTATTTTCTCTAAGGCCTGAGTCCGTGGCAGCTGCCCCGCCTGAAGCTGTGGAGTGGGAGGAGCATGGGGAATGCGGGTTCAGGTCCTTTTTGGGGGCCACGTCTTCAGGCAGGTGTGCGATGTGGGGAATAGACCCCCTCCCCTCCAGCTTGTACCAAGCATGTCAAACATGCGGCCGGCCTGCTGGCTGCGAGTTTGACATGCTTGTGTAGGCTGTTCCATCTGCCAGGAGCCTCGTTCTCAGCCGAGCCCTAGAAATCATGAAGAAATTTCGCCCCCACCTCACCCCACTTGGAAACAGGGGTGTGGCTGATCGGTGTGAAGGTGCGGGGGGGGGGGACGGGAATCTGCCCTTCCCTACTCTTGTATCACCCCCAGGCTGAAGGAGCCATGGGTGCCCAGGACTGTTAGGCCAGCCAGGGGTCGCCCCTCACCATCCTTGTGAAGGGTGCAAACGCTTAAGAGCCCGTGGCCTTCCAACCAGAACTAAGTGGAAGGAGATGAGACTGATTTTGTGATGCGGGGAGGGGACGGGATGGGGGGGGAGCAGGAGAACGGGTGTGGGTACAGTTAGCTCGATCCCACCACGGGGCTGAGGAAGTAGGTGGGACTTGTCAGTGGTGCCCCAGGCGCTGGGGGCAAAGGTGAAGTTACAAGCTCCGCTGTCCCCTCCACACATCCAGACCAGCGCCGTTGGGTGGAAATCGAGAGCCACAGATTCAGGGCCTGCGTGTCATTTTGTTTCCTAGTAGCCACATAAAAAGGTAGAAGAAATAGTCGGGATCGATTTTTGTGATAAAATTTATTCAGCCCATTCTATCCAGAGTGTTACCATTTCAACTTGTAGTCACTATAAAACATTTTTCATGAGCCATTTTATATCCCGCCCCCCCCAAGTCTTGGAAATCTGGGGTGTGTTTACACTGACATCACATCCCATTTCCCACCAGCCCCATCTCAAGTGCAGGAGGGGGACATGTGGCCGGTGGCCCGGGGGTGTGACAGTGTAGCCCAGACCTTCCCCGGGGAGGGGGGCTGGGGCCCTGCGTTTGCCACCCCCCCGGCGAGCCACACTGCTGGTTCCCGGGACGCCGGCCTTTGGCAGCCCTTTTGCTTGGCTGCCTGCCACTGGACATTTCTGTCTCTCCCAGGACTGCGGCCTGGAGCTCAACGACGAGGACGGCCACCGCTGCTACCCCCTGGAGGACCATCTATTCTGCCAGCCCTGCCACGTCAAGCGGCTGGAGAAAGGCCCCCCGCCCGCGGCCCTGCACCAGCACCACTTCTAGCGGAGCCTCTCCCAGACCGCGGGGCGGGGAGAGGCCAGGGCGCAAAGGACAAGTCCGCCTGTTGATTCTGGGAGTGGAGTTGGGGGGGCGGGAGGGGGGGAGGCGTGGCCAGCGAGTGCCTGCGCGCATGCGTGGGGCCCTTTCCTTTCAACCCTACGGGTCTGGAGTGTGTATTTCCAAGGGCCTTGCTCGCTGCCCTGCGCGCATCAGAACGCTCAGGAAGACGCTGCAGCAAGCGGGCGGCCTGAGACGGGAGGTGGTCGCTTCAGAGGGCAAGGTGTGCACTGAGCGTATTTCATAATATCTTGGGAGAGAGGGTCCAGCTGCCGATGCATTCAACCCTCCCTCTCCCTCCAGGGAAATATTGCACCCCACGTGTTCTCCCCGCCCCCCACGCGCGCGCACAGTGATTTAGGGCTTCCTTCCCCCGCAGAGCTTCATTCAGTGGAAGGGCTGCAAATTGTAATGGTGTTAGGGCGAGAGGGAAGCCCGAACACGTGCTCTGCATCTTAGGGAGCATTTTCTAGGTGAACCAGAGCCAATGCCGAAATAAGCGA